AGAAGAATGAGAAGCAGAAAAGTCAAAAAAGAAGGAAAGAAAAAGAAGGAAAAAAGAAGAATGAGAAGCAGAAGAAAAAAGAAGGAGAAAAAAAGAAAAAAAAGAAGAAGAATGAGAAAGAAATAGAAGAAAAAGAAGGAGAAAAAAAGAAGGAAAAAATGAAGAATGAGAAGCAGAAGAAAAAAAAGAAGGAGAAAGAAAAGAAGGAAAAGAAAAGAAAAAGAAGGAAAAGAAGGAGAAAAAAAAATGAAAATACAAAGAATGAGAAGCAGAAGAAGAAAAAAGGAAAAAAGAAGGAAAAGAAGATGAATGAGAAAAAGAAGAAGGAAAAGAAAAAAGAAGAAGAATGAAGAAGAATGAAAAGAAGAAGAAAAGAAGGAGAAAGAAAAAGAAGGAAAAAGAAGAAGAATGAGAAGCAGAAGAAGAAAAAGAAGGAGAAAAAAAGAAGGATGAAGCAGAAAAGAAAAGAAGGAAAGAAAAAAGAAGAAAATACGAAGAATGAGAAGCAGAAAAAAAGAAGGAGAAAGAAAAGAAGAAAAGAAGAAGAATGAGAAGAGAAGAAGAAAAAAGAGAAGAAAAAGAAGGAAAGAAGAAGAAGAAAAGAAGAAGAAAAAGAAGGAGAAAAGAAAAAAGAAGAAAAAGAAGGAGAAAGAAAAAGAAGGAAAAAGAAGAAGAATGAGAAGCAGAAGAAGAAAAAGAAGGAGAAAGAAAAAGAAGGAAAAAGAAGAAGAATGAGAAGCAGAAGAAGAAAAAGAAGGAGAAAGAAAAAGAAGGAAAAAGAAGAAGAATGAGAAGCAGAAGAAGAAAAAAAGAAGGAAAAGAAAAGAAGGAAAAGAAGGGAAAAAAAGAAAAAAAGAAGAAGAATGAGAAAGAAGAATGAAAAGCAGAAGAAGAAAGAAGAAAAGAAAGAAAGAAAAAGAAGGAAAAAGAAGAAGAATGAGAAGAAGAAGAAAAAAGAAGGAGAAAAAAAAAGGAAGAAAAAGAAAGAAGAAAAAAAAAGAAGAAGAAAAAAAAGAAGGAAAAAAAGATGAAAGAAGAAGAAGAAAAAGAAGGAAAAGAAAAAAGAAGGAAAAAACGAAGAAGAAGAAGAAGAAAAAAAGAAAAAGAGGAAGAAAAAACAGAAAGAAGAAAAAAAGAAAAAGAAAAGAAGGAAAATGAAAGAATCTGCAGAACCTAAAAAAGAAAAAAGAAGAAAACGAAGATGATTGTTTTGTTGAAGTTGAAAAAAGAAGGAAAAGAAAAAGAAGGAAAAATAGAAACAAGAGATGGATTAAAAAATGCCGAAAATGGACACAAGAAAAAAAGGAAAAAGAAGGAAAAAGAAGATGAATGAGAACTGAAGAAGAAAAGAAAAAATATTGATGGAAAATTTTAATATAAGAAAAGAAGGAGGAAAAAAAGAAGGAAAAGAAATGTAGAAGAAGAAAAGAAGGAGAAAATTTCAAGAATAAAATGTATTTTTAGAACTTTTATAGAGAAAGAAAAGAAGGAAAAAGAAGGTGAGAAGCAGAAAAAAAAAAGGAGAAAGAAAAAGAAGGAAAAAGGTATAATACCAGAAGAAGAAAAATTAGAAAGAAAAAATGAAAAAAGAAAGAAGAAAGAATAGAAAAGAAAGGAAAAAAAAGAAAGAAAAGAAAAAAAAGAAGAATGAAAAGAAAATGGAAAAAAGAAATAGAAGGAAAAGAAAAGAAGGAGAAAAAAAAAATGATAAGAAAAGAAAGAAAGAAAAAGGAAAAGAAAAAAAAGGAAAAGAAGAAAATGATGAAAGAAAGAAAAAAAAGGGAAAGAAAAAAGAAGGAAAAAAGAAGAAGAGAAAGGAGAAGAAAAAAAGATGAAGGAAGGAAAGACACCGAAGAAAAGGAAGAGAAGGAAGAAAAAAGGAAGGAAGAAGAAGAAAAAAAAAAAAAAGAAGGAAGGAAAAAGAAAAGAAAAGAAGAAGAGAATAATGGTTGCAGAACCTAAATAAGAATAGAGAAGTACGAATGATTGTTTTGTTGGTTGTTTCTATTTAGTTGCATATCAACATCTATGGATTATCTAATGCCGAAATGGACACATATTTTAAAGGCACTTGTAAGCCTTCAACTGCAGAGAAAATATATTGATGGCAAATTTTAATATAAAAATTTTTGAAAGTTTTATTCTAAAGGAAGTATAAATATGTATTTTTATAAAAAAGTTTTGTTTAGGGTTTCACTGTTTTGAGCTGGGGCCCTAACAGGTACTAGGAAAAATTAAAAGAAGAAAAAGATAAAAAGAAAGATAAATTGAAAATAAATGGAAAGAAAAGAAAAAAATGAAAGTGCAATAAAAATGATAAAAAGAAAGAAAGAAAAAAGAAAGAAAGAAATGGAAAAGAAAAGGAAGGGAGAAAAGGAAGGAAGGAAAAAGAAAGAAAGAAAGAAGGAATAAAAGAAAAAGGAAAGGGGAAAGGAAGAAAAAAAAAGGAAGAAAGAAAAGAAATTGAAAGAAAGAAAAAAGAAAGAAAGAAAAAAAAGAAGAATTGGAAAAAAAAAAAAGAAAGAATGAAAAAGGAGAAAGAGAATACGAAAAAGACAGAAAAACTGAATTGGAAAAACAAGAAAGATGAAAAAAGAGAAAGAGTGAAAACTGTGTTTTAGGAAGAGAGAGAGAGAGAGAGAGAGAGAAAGAGACAGAGAGAGAGAGAGTTAGTGACTGTGTGTGTTTGAGTGAAAGAGAGAGATAGATAGAAGGAATAGATTATAAGAGAAAGAAAGAGCGAAAGAAGGGGACATAAAAGTCAAAGTGATGCACAGAATAGACAAAAGTGAATATAAAAACATACAGAATAGAAGAACAGTCAAAATCTAAAAAAGAAACACAGTAAAGATAACAAAAGTAAAGCGATAGTAAATCTATTCATCTTACGACAGCGAAGCATGGAAAAAAAATGAAGAAGCTGAATAAAGTTTTGTACATTTATAGAATCCTCAATTTCTAATGTTGGGAAACTCAAATAAAGAGAAAGTAGAGAAAACCCGATGCAATTATAATTAAGCTTCTCTTAGTTTTGGTATAAAGCAATATGGCAGTCGAACTCACGATACGAAACGAATGGTCTGCGAGTAAACCTCGTTAAATATATATCTTTAGCAAATCTCTAAGTTTGGTTAAATCTAGTACATGTCCACAATAGTGGACACTCATTGGGGATCGAATTAAATGTAAAACAAGCATGCTAACCATCACTGTAGACTAGCTCCCACCAGGAGACATTTTTTTTTACCTTTTTTTATTTTTTGAATTTCTTAAAGTTCTTCATCATATAGAATGCCAGAAAGAACTCGACATCAAATTGTTCCAAGATGGAAGGTTATTTAAAGATGTTTCCCTATAGAGCAAATAATTCGATTCGGCGGGAAGAAGTGTGAGAGAGAATGGAGGAGAAAAGGAAATAGAAGTTTGGTAGTATGGAGAAGGAAAAGATCATTTGAAAAAGCAAACAGAAAAATGAGAAAAGAAAAAAAAAGAATGAATAATTTGAAAAAAATATGCAAACGAAGGAGACTTGAAATATATATATATATATATATATATATATATATATATATATATATATATATATATATATAGAGAGAGAGAGAGAGAGAGAGAAAAAAAGAAAAAAAGTGGAATAAGATAAAAAAAAAAAAGATGAAAAAAAGGCAGAAAAGTAAGACTAAAAGGTTATCAAAGGATGAAAAAATGCAAAAAAGGAAGGAAGAAAAAAAAAGGTTGAGTGTCTGTAACAGAAAAGTACGAGAAAGGAAGAGTATGAAAAGATGAGAAAGAGGGTAGAGAGAGAGAGAGAGAGAGAGGGCGAGAGTGGGAGATAGAGAGAAGAGGAATGAAGCTTAAGTGGGAGAAAATGTGTGAGAGAGAATGAGGGTAGGGGAGAGAAGAGACAGAAAATAAAGCAGAAAGAGTATCTAAAGATGAAAGAGATGAAAGAGAAAAGAGATCAAAAGATGAGTGATAAGGGAGTGGGAGTGGAGAAAGAGAAGAATTTTCAGGCAGGAAGTGGGAAGCAGGAAGTGCGTGCTTGTGTACATGCGCGCGCACTTTGTGCGTGTGTATAAGTGACTGTGTGTATGCGTGTGTGTCAGGGAGAGAGAGAGAGAGAAAGAGAGGAAGAGAGTTAGAGAGAAAGAGAGAATGGGAATATAAATAAATAGAGAATTCGGTAGAAAAGGGACAGAAACCCCGAACAAGATGGCAAAGGGGAAAAAAGAAATGAAAGAATATCGAAAGTCGAAAAAATGGAGAATTGATAGGATAGAATAAATTCAGATGCAGAGAAAAATCAAAGATTTTAAATATACGAAAAGAAAAAAACAAACAAACATTGACTCCTTCAATAAGAATAATTGTCCATGTTGGAAGCTGAAGAGAAAACATATTGATAGAATAAGTGATGAGAACTGAGAAAGCAAGAAAGAACTGACCATCTAACGCCATAAAATATTGACCTGCCAACGTAGTACGCCAGTTTCTCTTTGAAATACGCCCAACTACCGACAAACACCACACATAATATCAGTTTAACGCTGGATAATTCGCGTCTATCGGCATCAACTCTTGTTGTCCGCTGTGTAAAATTAGCGGCCTTATATTAAACGCTTCTTGACACGCGTCTTTATTATAAACACAATGTGGACGATGTAGATGCCACAAAAGAAGACTATTACAATTTATTTCTTATTTATCACTCATGGATGTCAGCGATATTGATATCTGTAGTAAATCTGCTTGGCTGTCTTCCATTTTAGGGCGTGGTTAAGGAGTTGCGTATTAATAGACTCTACATATTGGCCCTTTGTCGTATATCAGTGAATTACGATCATCATATAAAAACAATATATATATATATATATATATATATATATAAGTGAATATACAGATATGGGTTTATAGACTTGTTAAACTACATATGTGCCATTTTATTCCACTACCTTTGGCCATCTTTGAGACAGCAATATGATTTCTTCTTACCAGAACTTGGCACCTTTTTAGGTGATGAACTAGTCTAAGTGGTTTTTAACAGGTTTCCAGACAAATGATGTTTTTCCTATTAAGAGAGTTCCGTAAGGACGACAGAGTCGATGTTAGTGTTAGGGCCGATTGCCACTTAATTCGGTGCATCTGACCAAATCCTTGTTTAGCCAAATTTTAAACCAGCCAGTAATGTGTCGGTAATTTAATGGATATTAGCATTCAGACATTATCATGGCGGCTTGCTGAATTTCTTTTTCAGTGATAGTGTCCAGAGAGAATGGTAAGATGAAAAAAAAATCCAATGAGCGGTAATTCTGTCGACATAAATCCTATGAAAGAGTTCTGACGATAATGGTCAGGTAGATTCAAGTAGATAGGACAAGTGTAGCACAAATAATGACTCTTTACAATGCAGATAAGCAAAAGAGAATACCTGAACGTACAACACTTTGAATCAGAGTGGGATACAACAGCAAATGCCCCACTCATTAAGGGCCGCTCTTGTCAGATAAGAACAAGAAACGGAGGCTAAGCAGCGCAAAGTTTCAACAATAGAAGATTGGAAAAACGTTGCCTAGTCTGATGAATCTCAATTTCTGTTGCGACGTTCGTGTAATAGGCAAAGAATTTGACATAAATATATAACCATCCGTCTTTGTACCAACGGTTCAAGCTGGTCGTCGTCGGCATCCGTCTGTCTCGAGAGACGATGGAGTAGCGGGCGGGATATATGGAGAAATAGGGCGGGATATATGGAGAACTAGGGCTGCCTAGACGTCTAGTTCCCCGTCTCGGCCTTGATAGCAGAGTCCAAAGGAGAGGATATACCAATAGAATTTGGTACCAGCGCGGCTGCTGGAGCTGCTGGAAGGTAGCACAAAGTGTCGTCCATTCGCCTTAGGGGCTTCACTCTGGGTTTGAATTCAGAGTTGTCCTTCTCCTAGACCAGTTCCCATCCAAGGCTATAGAACCCAGTCTGTCCTGCTATTTACCCATGGCAGGAGGGAGAAGAGGATTCACACCTTTCCCAAAGGTATTAACTTCACGTAAGTGAATGTAATGGATACGACTGTAATTCGAACTCGGCTCTCCGATTCCTCAATCCAAGCCGCTAACCATTACTCCACCGTGCCTCAGTTCATGCTGGTGGTAGTGGTATAATAGTATATGAAACTTTTCTCTTGGTATACATTCTATACCTTGATACCAAAGAAAATCATTTAAATGCTGCTGTCTACTGAGGTATTGTAGCTCTGATCCCGTAACTCAATGGGTTACTGCGGTGCACATATCCACTGGTGGCTCGTTCCAGAAGAACAACGCACCGTGCCACAAATCAGAAATAGTGGCAGGTTGGATAATTGGACAAGTACCTGATGTCGGTTCCATACAACACCTTTGGAATATGGTGGAAAGAGAGATTCGTATATTGAATGAGCATCCAACTAATTTGGAAGATTTGCGTGATACCAAAACAATAATAGCATGAGCAGAAATTTCATCATCTCAGTCAGGCTTTGTTACTTTCTGCCGGCGAACAGAAGCGAGGTCTGGCGTTTTTTTTTCTGATGCAAGACAACGTCTTTTAGATTTGACCAGTCCCGGGTGTTTTTTCTATCGATTGCTGCCTTTAATCGGCCCAGTTAGCATCAGTACCTCTCTGGATTCGACCAACTATCTCCTCAGACATACAGCATAACTTTGTTCACCTACATATCAGCTTTTGGCGTTGTTAATAGTGGCTCATTTCGTTTATGCCATTTTCGATACACATTGTTGTAAACAATACACTTTTCATCGTTTATATCTTTTTTTTTCAAAAATAGGTATTTTTGAATCGTAGATAGATATGTAGTCCATTAATGTTTTTTTCCAAATCGTTGGGCACCCAAACATCGTAGTGATTTATTTATACATTTTTTTAAAATCTTTACAATGCTCATATGAAATGTGTGGATTAGTTCTGCGATGCCCCGTTTCGTGTGACCTGGATTATTTGCATCAATGTTTCCATTGGATCGTAATTAACGACTACAGGACTGCTTGAACATTCTCAGACTTCCAGACCAATTTTTCGACTTCTGAATATAGTGAACCAATACTTTTAGCTATGGTCATATCTACATAAACGGCACCTATCCAATTTACTGTTTGTTATACGTTTTTCTCTCACTGAAATCAAAGAACATCAAATGAAGGAAATGCGTTTCGTTTTCTAACATTTTCACTTTTCAAATTCACAATCCAAATTAAAGGCACTGATGCTATAGAATAGCGATCTATGTGGTAAAAATTGATCAAAAGCATTTAGTAAAAGTCTTCTGATGTGACAATCTACAATCAGTGAACAAACTGAAGCCTGATCGTTCAGCTGACGAGATTTAACGAATCATTGAGGTGACAGAAATAAATGAATCGCTTGCGGTCAACTCTTGATTAGCAGACGACACGACGAAGTCACTTTTCCTGTGAATCGAAGAACAGAAACACAAAAAGCAAAGATCAAATCAGACTAATCAGTCGTAGAGGACATTCCCATGACCTTCCCATTTTCACTGATATTTTTGGA